TGCGAGCCCGAGCCGCCCGGGCCGGCTGAGCCCGGGAGAGGAGGAGAGGGAGCGATGAGAGGGAGCCGGTGCCAAGTTCGCAGCCTCAGCCGTTAAGTTTGGAGCTGTCAGTACGAGCCGCAGTTCCTGTAAGGAGGAAGGATCTGCTCTTTGGTCGGAGAGTTTTGAGTGATCACGGAAAGGCATGTGTTTGCACGGGAGACATTTTCCCTCGGATTCCGGGAGATTACAAAACAGCTCCCCGTACGCCACACTCGCTCGCGCGCCCTCGCACCCAGATTTCTGTGCAGCCCCCAAGTGGGCTCGGGGCTCGCGGGGATGAGGGTGTCACCGCGGGAGCGAAGCCGACCTCGAGTTCCTTTAGTAGCAGCGCTCCGCGGGGCAAGGAACCTGCCTGGCCCACCGCGGAAACTTGGTTCTCCAAAGCATTTGCGGGGTTTGCAGCTCTGGGGGAGCTCTCCAGAGAGCTCTCGATGAGGTGATACCTCCACACCGCACCCACCTTCTTTCATTACAGAATAGAAAGTTTCTCTCTCTTTTTTTTTTAAATGGGCACCTCTAATGATAGTTATTGAGGTAATTCTCAGTGCTGCTAAATTGTGCATTATACACTTAAACACTGGGTAAAGCACCGCCCAGGGGTACAATTAGATCCCGCAACCCCCTGAAGCAGATATGTGGCTTGTCATTTAGAAAGAGCCCCCACGTTGCTCCTATCCACAGTTCTTTTCACCACCGCAGTTCTCACCTCTTCTCACTTCTTCCCGTTGGAATTGTGTGTGTCTGTCCCGGGTTGGGTAAGGCTGCCCTTTCACCCCCCAGAGGTTCTATCCGAGATTGCAATTTCTGAAATGTGTCGAAGGGGTAGAAGTGTTGGGGGGAAAGGGAAATCGTCGGTTCAGAATGAAGGCATCACTGTGGGGGAAATGCTGTATTAAAGGGTGCGCTTCGTATCATATTTTCAATAGATGTCTAGGCTTAGGAGATGTACACATTCGGAAGGAATCAGGAAGAATCAAGGTCATCGCACCCGTGTGGAGAAGAGCAGGGGGAAGGGGCATTGCCCGGCAGAAAGGTTTGTAAGGTTTCTAGGGCAGAGGCCTAGGAGGAGAGGAAGGGAGTGCAGTTCCCTTCTTGCAAGCAGGTTGGTTTATAGGCAGAGCTTTGAAGGCCACACCTGGGGTCACCACAGTGTGCTGCGGAAATGCAAGTGTTAAAGGCTGGCGAGGAAAGAGAGGTTACGATGTAATTTCTTGATTTGTACAAGTTTTCTGCTTTGCAGGAATAATATGCAAGAGCATAGAACCCATTCCCTGTTATAGTAGCATCTGCTCACATGAATGGCAGTGGTGAGATCTGGGTGGAGAAATCTCTATCTACCAGTTCAGAAAAAGAGCCTAAACCTTCCTATTTAAACAAGAGCACTGGAGACAGATCAGGTTAATGACCAACACTCCAAAGGAGGGCGACATACTATCATGTCACTTTGAGTGTCAGTAGGATTGATGATCCTTGCACCCTTGCTTTGCGAAACACATGTGAGCTCTGTAATCTTCCTTCTCACTTTGATTAAATGGCTGTGTAAATCTGATTACATGGAATAATTCCATTGAAAACTAGAAAGAGGTCAATCTACCCTGAAACGCCGTGGTGTTAGTGACTCAGTGCTGCCGACCAGGGTCATTTGAGATAGCTAAATATTTTAGAAATGTGACCTGCTCAGACCAAGTTAAAGTGCAAGCCCTTTGGGGGAACTTGCTGATGTTAAAGGACTTGCAGGCATAGGAGGGCAGTGCCCTTGCTGAATGAAGGCATTCATTGCCTGGGATCTAATGACCTTCAAGGTCTCCTTTAAGGATACTTCTAGCAATTCCACATTCTTGCCACTGAAAAGGGGGACACTAGAAATAGTATGAAATCAATAACATAATCTGTGGAAATAAGGGGGAGAGGGATTAGATCCTTGTTAATATTGCTAAATTTTCTAATCCAAAAGGTACAGGAAACTTCCTGTGTAATTCTGGATGGATGGAGAGTAGCATGAGGAAGTCAAATATTAAGAAGTAAGATGAATTGCCAGCAAGGGTATCTACTAAATCAATAGTTTCAATGGTCATTTATAAAGATGGCCTCAATAGGAGAGTTCTATTTTAAGGTAAACAGTTTTTTGCTCTCTTAATATATATTACCCAAGATATAAAATTAGAACTTAATAAAAGTAATAATAATAGTAAACTTTAATTGCAGTTATGCAGCTCTCCAAGAATCACGGGTGCACCAAATGTTCTGGCCTTTCAGTTAAGCTAAATAAGTGTGAAAATTCCATCAAGAAACAATTGAGGTTCGATAAATGATTCTTTCATTTATTTAGCATTTGTAATGGACTTTAGCATTAAGAAAATAATTACATGGACAATACCTATGAGGAGCAATTATAACAAATTTAACCACAAGTCTACAGAAATGAATGCATTTTGCATTTTTCAGATTTCTGATTGCATTTTATTTATATTATATGGTTTTGCAGTTTGAAGGAAATTGTGGCTTAGGTTCAGAAAGAACATCTATTTCGATCAATAATCATTTATTTTAATATAACACTCTGTATATTAAATAACAATTGGACAGTATATTTTTCAAGACCATTTTAAAAAGTGCCTATCAACTTAATGGGCCTGATGCCCGATTTATTGATGTACTCACATTTTAGTTTTCAGATGGTTTATGAGAGTTTTCCTTACTGCTATCAGTTTTAAAAACATTAAGAAAAAAATCCATCTTGCAAACAGTGTAAAAAAAGGCCATTTTAGGCATACATTAGTTCTCAGAGAAGCAAATAGACTACTTTTTAGCTTTTGTTGTTCCAGGAAGACATCCCTCTATTGTCTGTATGAGGATGATATTTGGGTGATAATGCAAGTTTGTAGGAAAAAAATTATGAAAAGAGCATTTTTTCATCTTATCCTTAGAGTCACTCAATTTGGAGTGTGTGCTTTGAGTAATTCTATTTTGTGTAGCTTTTAATTGATATGTTCTGCCAAGATTTTAAAATTCAAGTGCTAAGTCAATTACATTTAACATAAAACAAGGAAATAACCATATGGAAATCTGAAGGCCTGAGCCAAACCAATTAAAATTGCTAAATTTTATTTATGTCTAACTGCTGATTTGAACATAGCAAATTGCGAGTCACGTTTGTTCTTTAATGGTAGGTGATTGACATCTTTCCATCACCAGGAAGAAAAAAAAAATCCCTGCCCAAATGGCTGGTCTGAATATTGGAGGTTTGATGCATGGTCTGCACTCACGTGCCCTTCCCACCCATGGCTAGGGAGCGCCTCAGGTGTAGTGGACACACAATGTGTGTCATCTAGCTCTAGCTTTTGAAGACTTAGATTCCAATTCCTGTTTTACCACTGGTGAGATAAATGACCTTAGGCAAATGGTTAAACTTCTTGGGAATTGCATTTTGTAATCTGTATGATGGTTATAAAATAGTCATAAAGAGTTTTCTCACATGGTGGTTGTAAGGATTAAAGGAGACTTTATATATATATATCTATCTTTATCCCAGCACAGTGGCTTACTGTAGTTACAGTCTGGATTTGTTGTTCCTGAGAAGAGAATTGCCTGCTGGTTAACTAAACAACCAGAGAAAAACTGACTATTGCAGGTAAATGGTGCTTCACCAGGAAAACAGACAAATCTGAATTTGTGGATTCAGTGCTGCCCATTCCAGGCTAATGTCTGTTTATAGACTGTAATGAACACACAGCAAATTAGGAATGTATGAAAACAGAGGCTATATGTGGCATCAAGGATGTTAAATTCTTTAAAAGTAAAAATGAGTGAGAGAATTAGAATTGAAAATAGAAATAGAAAATGGAAATATTATCGCCATCTCTGATTCACTTCCATATTTCCACACTCTTGCTTTCTGAGTTCCCCTTGTGTGATGCTGAGGGTTTATTTTGTTTTGGACTGGAGACTTAGCATCCTATCCCTGGTGTTCTTGCACTTGCTCTTCTGATTGAGGCCATGCATTCATTTCTGCACGGTATCCTTTTTGTCTTTCCCAGGCAACATGCAGTGACATTTTTATCCATTATGCAAGTTTGGGAGATTTTTGTTTTCCTTTTCCTGATTACCTTAATGTTCCCTTTTGCAAATTAGGGTAAGGCATTTGGCTGCAAATCAATCTTAGGAGTGATCTTTTATCTTTTTTTCTAGTACATGAATCCAACAGCTGCAGGGGACTGCTTTTGGGTGTAAGTCACCTGTGTAGTCAGAACATTTATGAAACAAATTGAGGCAACACCAGGATGCTTTTATAATGTATGCTGTTTTCAAGGTTAGTTTGTATAGACTTTGTCTCATAGAAACCATTGACTGTATCCTCACTGAATTTTAGATGCTGCAAAATGTGTTTTTCCTTTTTACTTGACTATGGGCACAGGAAGAACTGTTAACAGGGGTTGGGAGTTTGAGGGAATTGTTATTATCACATCTCTATTTCCTCTGTCCAGAAAAAAAAAAAAAAGGAGGTGGGGAGTGATTTTCTTATAATTAGGCCTCATGGTTCTTTTTTTGAGGTCTCAATGTGTGTCATCTAAAGGAAGACTGTTCTTTATGTTGCTGTCTTTGTCTTTGGCTACATTTCACTGTTTTCCTAGGCAGCCACATTGACTTGGATATTAGGGGATGGAGTTCTTTTATTAGGCTGGATACTAAGTTGTGTGACTTTGGAAAGAGATTTGAATCTCTTCCAACCTCAATTTCCTCAACCGTAAAATGAGAAAGTAGGACTAGGCAATTTCTAAGTGCCTTCCAGTTCTAAAATTTTGAAGGTACTAGTAAAATAGAGGCTTGAACCAGATGGCATTTAAGCACCCTTTGGTTCTGAGATTTGTGTAGCCATTGCTTTGGTGTGACTATAAATGATAGCCATTATTTTATGATTATGACCCAGCCAATGGGGAGAAAGAGGTTTAAATTTAGACTGTTCTGCTTTTAGCCATTTCACCTGCTCCTTGGCATTTCTCTCTAACAAGCATGGTATTTACACTTTGCTATATTAGCAGTATCCACTGTTACTTTCTCTCTTCTGATCTTTAAATCCTCTCCGTAAGGAAGGATCCTAAGGCAAAGGCAGGCGACCAGAGGAGATAGGCTCACAAAGGTGGTGAGTGCCTCCCTGGGCCTGCGTGTCTCTTCTGCTCCTGCCGTCTGCAGTGTCTGGGAGCATGCAGTAGCCATGGAGGCAATCTGATCACGTAGCAGAAAGGCATTGGTGGGGAGCATGGGGGAATGGGTCCTGTGCTTGGCTCTTGCTCCAGCGCCAGCAGACACTGAGGCTTAGGCAAGTCTTGGACAAGTCCTGGGCGAGTCACTGATCTCAGTAGTATCTCTGGCCCACTCCCTAGCATGAACCCTCAGAAGCCAGGGAAGAGGAGGGGGTCTGCAGCCGGCAAGACGGGCTGGAAAAGGAGGGAGCAGGCCTGCTGCCTCAGGGAAAGACTGTTCTTGTGGAAGGCACTTGGCTGAGGATTTTCGCAGGTTCAGTACCCTCTCAGGACACCTCTCACCTACCTCCTTTCCTGAGCTTCTCTCTAGAACTGACCTCACTGGAGAGTTGGGGCAAGCCCAGTAGCCAGCAGCTGGTTTTCCTTAGCCATCAGAAGCCATGACAGTCCTTTCCCATTGTTGACAGGAGACTATTGGAACATCAGCTGGACCCCTGCGCCGGCCAAGAGAGCAGGGATTCTTCAGAAAATTGAGCAGTGGCAGTGACAGTGACGCTGTTCTCCTCTAAGCACAGGCAGAGCCTAGAGAGCTGCCCACTGAAAGCACATCCAGCATCGAGGCAGTGATCCAGGCTCTTACAGAGGCAGCGGTAGCTCTCCTTCGTGATCTGGGAATTCAGCACTTGCCTCTGCAGGTGTAGCTGTTGCCTTGGTGCTTTGAGGGCTGTGGATTAGAATGTGGGCACGAAGGGCGGCAGCCAGGGTGCCTTTTCTGTGTTCTGGGTGCACAGAGAGTCACTCAAAATGGGCAGTTGCCCTTCAAAGAATGCCTTTGCTCTCTAGGGTGACAATGCAAAAGGGCACAAAAGAGCAAGAGCAAACCCATCCTCAGTGTTCACTCGAAAAAGAAAGCCTCAGCCTCCTTCACCTTTGCAGAAGCCCCCCCTCGCCCAAACGCATAGTGTGGCAGGCTGCAGACCTGGGAGGACCCAGCACAGTAGGATGGGGGGCCTGGTGTTGGCCTTGTTTGCACATACTCTGTTGCCCTTTCAAGAGCAGAATTTCATCTTCTAAACAAAAGCACTGTGGGTGCTTAGAACTTTTGCCTCTTTTTCAACTTGACATAAAATCTCTGAAGCCAGCAGTCTTTCCATTCAAGTGTATCTCACAACTGGCTTAGAATGTGGTCCTAAAGGGTAGTTGAGGGTTTTGAGTAAAACCTCAAAGAATTACAATTTAATAGGGGCTGTCTTTTGTGAGGGACCCCCTTATGCCGAGTTTTCTGCTGTTTCCTGGGAGTCCCTTTCTCGAGGCCTTTCTAGACGACTGCCTGTGAAAGCACACGGATTCCTTGATTTCCAAGCAGAGCGTTGCAGAGAAATGGGTTGTGTTATAAATTCCTTGCTCCTGTCCTGGCACGTGTTGTTCAGGACATATGGATGGCTGTTCAGATTTACATTAACTGCTGAACTTGAGATGAAGAGGAGGGAGGAAGGGTAAAAGTGTTTCATATAAAGTGATCTCTAATGTCATCTAGAAAACCCAGGGATTACAAAACAAACCTCAGCAGTCACACTTCATTATTTATGGTTCTATGTAAACCTACAATTTAATGCTTCTGAAATAGTCAACACATTAGGGATTTCCATTTTTGATGACCAGCGAAAACCTCTGTGATTGCTTTAGTTTGGATCTCTGGCAGTTTAGAAAGCTGCTCTATTCGGCCAGGCCTACTCAGAGGCCTCTGATGTGTTCTGTTAAGCGGAGGACTGGCTCTGACATGGAATTCTGCTTGTTAGGTAGGGTGCATGGCTTGCGCTTTCTGCCTCCAGGTGGTCCAAAATGGGCATTGAAATGCAGAGATAATAAAGGCATTAGAAAACATTCATGAAAAATGAAAGAGAGGTTATTAGTATGTTTTTAATATTGTATGACATTAATTTTATGTACAAAAGCACTACAAAATAGGGTTTATGTTATTCTTTCATTGTTTTGCAACAAATTATAACATTAAAACAATATTCTTAACCCCTGCCCAGGAAAGTATATTTAAAACTTTAGTACAATTTTTTTTTACCCACCAATGTTATCTTACTATCTTGCCCCTCCTTTTTTTTTTTTTTTTTTTTTTTTTTTGGTAATGTGCCATACTCTATACCTTAATAATACTTAGAAAATAGTGGGCTGCCTTTTTCTCCCCTTTTGAAATTTGAATCTTTTTTATTCTTAAACAATTTTAATAGACTTTTAAATTCAAAAGCAATTTGATTGTTTATTGTCCTGCGTCTGTACAAATGTCACACATAAATGATTCAGCATGAAGGAAAGGATTTACTGTAGTGTGTGTGTGTGTCAAATTTTGACATTTAAATGTGTAGCCATTTTAAAGAGTTTCCATCATTGCTTTATAAAATCAAATCACCCTGCTAATAAGATCAACCAGAGTGGCACTCAGTAGAAAACAGTTCCAAGATTAATTAATTGGGAGAACTTTTCTTCTGGGAGGTAGGTACAGGTTTTTTTTTAAAATCCCATTTCACAGATGAGGAAATTCAGATAAGGTCCTTCCTCTGCCAACTCCACGTGTTTATTGCCAAGAATAACACCCAAAGAGATTTAGCTGGCACAGCCACAGTGCGTTAGTGTGGCTTGTTTAGCACGTCAGAGATACAAATTCTGTTTACAGGAACATGGAATCAAAAGCAAATGCAATTCAGATATTAGAAACAGCTGCCAGTGATAGAATTTGGACCAAAAAATTTTTCATAATTCCAGTTGCCTAACAGAGTGGCTCATATCAGGTACTCATTGTGTTGTGGAAAGAGTAAATGCCTGATTCAGGTTGTTAGGTGCTGATATACTTTTTTGAGGCTTTTTTCCTTTTCTTTTCTTTTGTTAAACAGGGCAGATTTTTAAAAAATGTTTAAATTGATTTTAGAGAGAGGAAGAGAAAGGGGAGAAAGAGAAAGAGAAAGATTGATGTGAGAAACATCATCAATTGGCTACCCCCAGTAGGTGCCCTGACTGGAGTTTCAACACACAACCTGGGTATGTGCCCTGACCGGGAATAGAACCCTCCACCTTTTGATGTATGGGCTAACACTCCAACTGAGCCACACCAGCCAGGGCAAAACAAGGTACATTTTTAACTACTGTGCTGGCTCTATTATATACACAAATGTGTTTGGTTGATGATTATAAAGGTTACTTTGTTCACCATATATAGCATTGTTTTCCATGAATATGCAATATCATTTACTAAGCAAAACTGGAGGCCATGTGAGAAAACAGAAAACATTGGATTGAATTATAGATCAAATGTAGTATTGGTTCTGCCACGGACTAGCTATGTGACCTTCAGTAGGTATTTTTCTCTGAACTTTACTTTCCCTATCTTTAAAATGGGTACAGAAATAACCACCTATTAGTTGTATTGATTAAGTGAGATGGACTATCTAAGGGCACAACGACTTACACTTAGTACATAATCAATTCCTTTTCTGCTAGAATAATGAATCATGAAATATTATAGCAAATCCAAATGCTGTAAGAAATACATTCATTGTTAGCCATTTCTGCTTTTGCATGAATAAATAAAATAATCCTTAGAGATTAATGGCATAACTTCCTTATGTTATCTGCCTTCTTTAACACTCATAAGTACTCTTAGCAAATTAAACAAAATTTTCCTTCAATTTTATCTCCTTTACCTTTACCCCCTTCCCGTGAAAGGAAAGTTATACAAAATAGTCCAAATGACAAGCAGCTTAAAAAGAGAAAGCAGCTTATTGAATAAGGAAATAATAAGAGTAGTTGATAAGTTAATATATACTTGTTGATTACGCACCACGATGAGGTGCAAACTGCACGGGTACGTCTCATTTGATTCTAGCCCCAAAAAGTTATGAAGTAAATACTATTGTTGATATCACTTTCTTAAACAAATAAGGAACTTAAAGTTCAGAGAGTTTAAGAAAACGTGCCCCAAATTAAAAGAAGAATAAAATGCAAGTAAGCAGAAAATCTTGGATGTGAAGCCAAGGCTGTTGAATTCTAAAGACTCCATTCCACTTAGCCATATTTAGGTATACATACATAGACGTGCAGT